TGGTGCTTCCTTTGTTGAATAGCATCAACTTTTACCTCAGCAATTCGTGATTATGCATTTCAGAATAAAATGTTCAGCCTTTGAATGGTCCAAAGTCATTATTTATTACATTTGCAGAATCTATCTCTACAAGGTGTGATCTTCATATCTCATCCAAGTCGTCCATCATTACATCAGCTTCTCCAATTATCAGTTTGCTTGCTGTTCATATCATATATCCAATATATACTCTAAAGAAGCGGCATTTGTGATATGGAGCGCTCTTGATCTGTCTTCTCAGGAGCATTCAGTTTATCGAAAGAGGCCGGTTGTTCCCCGGTTGGCGGCGAAAGGCTCTTCTCCCACTCTTTCATAAGCGTGGACATACTTCTTTTCAAATTCCCTGGCGTGAGTTTATCGAGAGCAGGCCACTGGATTTCATCACCACGTTTAGAAGGCGTGCTGGATCCTTCATTATTCTGATCTAAAATTCTATATATTGTTAGTCGATGTACATTCGCAGGCTGCATCAAGCACCTACTTGACGGTGCGATCTTCTTCGCCATTGTTGTTAACAGGTGTCGCTGGGTTCGACACATCGGTGCTTCCGCTCCATCGTGGTGATTTCGGGGTTGGTGAATCCCAATTCGACCAGTCATCGTCATCAGTTTCTGCAACAGCTGGCGCAAAGGACAGCGGTCGTTTTGGTTTAGTTCCAGTCGGTGCTTTGGACACTCTTCGAGAATTCTCTGGAAGCCAAAGAGGTCCGGATGGGTCTGCTAGTCCAAGACCAATATTTGGATGGGTAAGCGTATCCCACGTCCTGGGAGAGTTGAGAGTTTTGGGAGACGGTGTGTGGCGACTCTTCAGACTACCTTTACTAGTCTTCTTGGTGAGGGCGCTGTGCGAACCATGAGTAACATACTGACTGATACTACCATTGACAGCTTCATCACCGACTGTTGCTTGTCTTAGGTCCTCCAAAAAAGTCCACATGCCTGCCTTGAGGTCTTCGGCCACTTGTTTCGCACCATGAGTCAGTCCGCTCTGATATGAATGCCTAGCACGACTTGCGGTTATCTTCGTCAACCCCTGGCTCGTATCTGGCATAGTGGTGCTGCGTGGTAATCCGTTAGGGTCGGAAGACTCCTGAACGGCAGGAAATGGCCGGTTGAAATTCGAGCGTTCAGGGGACAGTAGTGATAAGGTGCGTGCATGTCCACCTGTGATGATTTTCCTTCTAGATTCTCTTGGGCTTGATATCGCGAGAAGGGCCTTTCTCCTTTCATTCTCAATACTTTGTCGTGTTCCCTCCTCACTCAACCGTTTACCATCGGTCCCACCATTCTGCAGCGACAGAAGCGGCTCTGCTCGACGATGTTCTGCTCGTTTCTTTGTCCTCTCTTGATTTGCCCATTGGACTTTCAATTGTGCGAGCCCAGACTCGGCCTTCTGAAGCTCCTCTTTCAGTTCAAGAACTCGCCTTTCCTGCGTTGCGATGGCGACCAAGAACCCGCTAGGATCAGTAGGCGAAGGTGAAGCCTCTTGTGGTGTAGGAGGGAACGAGGGGAAAGATGCGGTGGTTGTTGAGGTTGGAGTTGGCCTAGTTGAATCACTGGTTCCAGTGGCAACAGGAAAATTCAAGGACAAACGATTCGGTCGAGGTGTATGAGATACTGATCGAGCATGCCGCGCCGGTGGAGTTGGAGGCGGAGCCATAGGAAAGTGGATTTTGTTAGGTGAAGCACCAACATGAGCGTTGGGTACAGGAGACGGTTGGCTAGAGTCACCAGCAGCAAGGATGGACTCAATGGAGACACGATCAATTGACGATCGTCGGCGATTGTGGCTTTCCATGGTGCATATAGTGTTGTTCGCAAACTGAGATGTTTCGTGATCGAGTAGAGGGAAGAATGTTGGCCAGGAGCGTGGCCGTTCTGTAAGCATCAATGGGTGTCCGCGTTTGGGTTGGGTCTCTTTTGTTAATAAACAACTGAGCCGTTCGCTCGTAAACAAAGGACAAAAGAATGTACAATGTCAGCCTCTGGCTGAGCTTTAAGTAGAATGATATTATTATTATGTCATGAGGATCGTAGCACCAACATGTACAGTGGAAGAACGACAGTGATGGAGGTGGTGAGGTTGGATGGTAACATACATACACAAAGAACGAAAGATTCCAGATTCAGGAGAAGTGGTTAGGACGCTGGGTGAGATTCACCAAGCTAATGGCACCTGGGGCCCCAGTTCTTTTAAAATTAGGTCATTGGGCGGTCAGCAAGGTGAGTACGAATAAAATGGGGCATATATCACATGACAACGCGAGTTAGATAATCTTGGCACTGCGTTCGCGCTCAAGCACGTGCTCTTTTATTTACTTAATTTCCCACAAAGAAACGCTATAACTAGCCCTCGGTCGCGAATAGCTTTGCAATAATACTACATATAGGGGTAAATACTTACTATAGCTTCGACGCCGCCCAGTCTTATTACCATGCTAACGAAGTGATGGCCTGAACCCGAAGGATACCTACGACTTGCGACGCAATATCAAATACGCGTTTGGCGATGAACAATGTCCCCACCATTTCCGTTCATATTTGTATGCAACCTTCTCGATAGGCTTGATGATATAGAGCATAGAGAAGAATGGCTTTTACGAAGCGTTGCGAGGAGAAAGAAGAACGTGGCAGTAGTTGAGTGGTTTGGCCATAATTGCGCTCTCCTAGATAACCTAGATAAGTTTCAAAATGGCGCCGAAAGTGTTCTGGCTATGCTTCATCCCGCCGATAGGATGAGCGGCTATACTTACGGTTTTGATGTGGAAACCTTAGAGCGGGTTATTGCTAGGGCTTTTAACGTGGATAGAAAGTATCTTCTGCAACTTCAAGAATGGCGAAGCGGTTCTCATCGCAGGTGTGATCTTGGGTCTTGCGTGGAGAGTTTAATGAAGAAGAGACTTGTATGCGTTCAATTCTACGCTTAATCATGATCTTACAATTTGCAGGCTCAATTTCGGCTTTGCGCCCCTACACAAGCACATAAGGTTTCTGTTCAGGAGGTACATCATTGCTTAATGCAAATAGCTTGCCACAATCCTGAATCTTCTGCTGCCATACGTTCTAACGCCACCAACCCAATCTTCCAGTTTGATAGGAACGCAAGATTTGATAGGCCATTTTGTTTCGATACTGCATCTAGCTTGCGAGCCCTATATAGAAGACTAGACGGCTGTCAGGCGAAGTGGCTAACACGTTTGCTTCTGAAAGATTATGGTCCACGCAAGCTATTTCCAGAAGAGTTGGATTTAGTGGTATCATATCGTTTGCCAAAGTGCGCTCAGCAATTTAAGTCATCCAGAGAGCAAAGCACAATTGGATTGCTTGACTTCTCCAGGGTATTTAAAGACGTCTCAACTCTACCTACCTCTACCATAATGGATGTTAATAAGTATATAACTACGCAAAGACCGACCAGACTCTTGAGTATTACACCAAATGCATCACTTGGTTCTGACCTCGTCCAGAAGGTCCCTCAGACACCATCAAAGATGTCTCCTCTGGCGCAACGACTCGAGCTTACTAACAAGCGGGAGCTCAATTTCACCAAAAGTTCACCACGGATGAAACGAAATTTCTACTCATTTCCTGTCTCACCACCACACCTGCCGCACAAAGTGCCACCAAAACTACGGTATGAGGCTGGTTTGCATGAGACAAATATGCAATTTGTACACTGCGTAGGGGGCTCTAGATCTACACTTTCCACCAAGGTGCATACAACCGCAGAATATGGAATCTCTCCTCCACAGTTAACTTCGCCACAAGATGGAAGGGATCTTCCCGAAATATCCACAACCTACAATACTCATAGACCTAAATCGCTCATTGCCACATCGTCAATAAACCCGGAGGACCGAGATGTAATTGGAAGCGTAACAAATAAATCCGCAAAAGCCCGAAAGCGTTCCCCACTCGCGAGCCTTGACCAAAATGCAAGGTATTCTTTCACGAGCAGAGAGACTTCAACCAGTCAAGACTCGAGGAATGGAAATATGTCAGTAAAGCGGCTAAAGCAGAAGTCAAACATCAGCATTGCAGGAACAGGCCGGTGTCGTCTCACAAAAACCAAATGCCAACTTGCGGATTTAATTATTCTCCTCTCACCGTGTATCGCAGACGACCCATGGGTCGCCAATAGCCTTCTCCCCTGGCATGGATGCCGCTTCATTAAATCGCCAAAAGCTTTTGCTGAAGCATCGCTGCAAAAGTCCCCGCAGGCTGGGGGGGAATGTCAACGTATAATATTGGTTGATACCAAGCGGACTGAACAAACAGTCACCTTCTTGAAGCAGGTTCAGGGGTATAAGAACCGATTTGGCAAGGATAGACAGTGGGTTGAGGTTCACGATTGGCGGATACTTGAGTATATGGCGAAAGTCGATCATGGGAAGGAATACACCTATGATCCGTGGGACAGGTGTCGAATGTGTACGATTTAGCGATACGTATTGGACGCATTAGGAACGATCAGGATTAGTCCCCTTGGAATATGGCCGATGCCAATGTGCAGCTTCTGTTCATGGACGTGTTGATGATATGATCATGACCGGCAATAGTGTTATGGGATATGATGCTACGGCAGTGTTATGCCTTCAAGAACAAAGATTTCACATAATTTTATACCATCGGGAAAGTAAACCCATTCTAGAACACTGCAAAATTCGCACTTGTTTTTGTTCTCCCATAACTTATTTAGATGTAAATATTAGCATCGACGAAATAAGTGCCACCATGACAGGAGATTTCCTCTAGGAAAGGAATTTAAACAACATAATCCCGATATTGTTTTTTTTGGAAACATCGCAAATATCCTCCATTCTCCTCATCACCACCGCTCTATGATCTTATCGCCTTCGTCACACATGCCCGCTTTTTTCTTTACTTCTCAGTCCCACTTTTTACAGAAAATGTAATATAATAAAGTTTAATTATCACTCCATCATCAATCAACGAATCATATCCATACTGGTGTATCGGTAACATTTCCGCCTTTCAAGTTCATGTCATTCAGCGACGAACAGCGATCGCGGGAGCGCAGGGTTCGACTCCCTGGTATGGAATTTCTTTTTTAGCACAATTTTTTTTAATAAAATAGTATATGTGGAATTAAATTATCTTGTAGCTGGTTTGGTTCTTTAGAGCGGCGTTTGAATGGAAAGTGGGCAGAAAGACTCGCTTGTTCTTTGGCGGGCTTGGCAGGACTTGTTGTGAACTTCTGTTCATAGATGTTGTGCTAATGAGCTTATTCATTGATGGAATGAAATCCGCTCCATGTTTGTCTAATGTTTGACACTTTATAGACACCAATAATCTCTAGTTTTAACCTCAGTTATTATATTAGGATAGTTTTACTGCATTAAAAAAAAATGCACGAAAAAATCCCTGGAAGCAGAAAATTATGTGTAGGAAGAACATGCTAATGAACATTATCACGTGGAGTGATTATTCTTACTTGAGTTGTGGGAGAGCGGCAAATATGATCAATTTAGAAAGGTGAGCTAAGCCTGTTCATAGAAATTATCCTCCAAAGATCCTCGCTTCTGCACCATTACCTCCTCTCTATCCATGCACTGAAATGCATCGTCTAAACAACTCTAGCGGTGGAAGTAGCAGCCGTCTTCTCCTCATTTATTTGTATCTCCTTCTCGACCTGCTCCAAATCAACATGCGCAACAGCCGCGTCCTCTCCATCAAAGATCTTAGCCAGCTCCTCGAGTGTTGGACCCCTGGTCTCAACGTAGAAGAAGTACACGAATAACAACTCGATGAAGATCCAGATGGTGTAGATGAGCGACAGGTTCCAGTGGTGTGGAAGGCGCTCCCAGGCGATAGGGTTGGTGTAGTTACCGAGCACGAGGGCGGATTGTACGGTCAAGTTCATGATCATGAGACCCTTGGCGCGGAGCTTGTAGGGCAGGATTTCGAGGGCGTAAGCCACGAGGAGACCGGACCATGCGAGGGCGTAGAAGACACTGAAGAGCCAGACCCAGACGACCTGTGGGTATCCTGTTTTCTTGACATCGCCAGTTCTCTCGAATTGCGAGGCGGTGATGGTCCAGGCGAAGAACATAGCTACCATTCCCACGGTGGAGACGAGGAAGAGAGGACGTCTTCCAACGCGATCGACGAGGAAGGCACAGCCGACAGAGACGATGAGGGACAGTAGAGTTTGACCGCCATTGAGTGGGATTTTCTTTTGTTGGTCCTTGATGCCCATGGACTCGTAAATCAAGTTCATGTAGTTGGAGAAGAGGGCGTTACCAGAATATTGAGAGATGACGCCAAGGGAGACGAGCAGTGCCAATCTGTAGCGGTTGCCCTTGGTCTTGATGAAGTCGAGGTAGCTGGAGTTGGTCTTGGCCTCGAATTCGAGACGGATAGTCTCCTTGATTTCCTTGAACTCGAATTGCACAGTGGCGTTCTGGGTGTCACCATTGGCGTGGTACTTGGCAAGGGTATTCAAAGCCTCGTCGTAGCGCTCGTGTGCCATGTGCCATCTTGGAGACTCAGGCACCCACCAGATGAACGTGAGTTGGATAGCGGCTGGGATGATCTGGAAAAGAGTGAGGGATCTCCATGACCAGTCACCATCAATTGTCATGGTAGCCCAGGCAATCCATGCAACGAACAAGGCTCCCAAGTTCCACAGGCAGTTGTAGATGGCGGTAACCTTTCCACGGTGTTGGGGATGGCAGATCTCGGTCAATAGAACTGGTGACGACATTTGGGTCAAGCTGTTTCCAAAACCAAGGATGAATCGACCTCCAGTGTACATTCCGAAACCATTGGCGAAGGCTCCGAGCAAACCACCAAGGAGCATAATAACACACCCAACGACGATAGGCACCTTGCGTCCCCACCAATCAGCCACTGGGCAATCACGTTAGTATTTAGTCACTGAAAAATGGCGGCGAAGTATATGTTGGGATTGCTTACTGTATGGTACAAAAGGAAACGCGGCTAGGGAGCCAATTTGGTAGATGGCGTTCATTAGACCCTAAGCCTCCGTATTAGGTTTTTGTTTCACAGAGAATTCTAAAATGTTGTAGAAGTTTTGGCGTGTTTGCTGCCATCGCCCCGAAGCTATACAGCATATCCTAGGAACGAAAATAGTGTATACTCACAAGTTTGGAGTCCTTGGGATGCTTAACTAAAGTTAGATATTAGCGTTTGCTCAAACAATCTGTGTGTGCCAAAATTCTCGAGACGCTCACGATGACTCCCTCTCAGTTGGGTAGCCAGATAACGGTATTCGATGGGGAATACTCACAGTAATTCTGCCATTGATCAAGATTCTGGGATGTGTTCAACATCATCCCGTCATAACCAGTGGTTGCAGATGCAATGCAAAGAACCGCTGCCCAAAGGTAGAGCTTCCGAAGACCGCTATCTTTGTACCAGATAACCTTCTCAAAGACCGGTGCCTCTGCCTGGGCCGCGCCAACATCTCCAATAGCGATTCCGACCATTTTGACGCTTGATGTACCAACTGCTGACTTTGCTGAAGGAAGAGAAGGACGAGGAGAGAATCACAGAAGGAGGGACAGTTGCAGCTATATAAACAAGCAACTGTAGATCCAGGCCATCGGTACCAAGAGGGCCAAAGGATGTTTATTTTAACCGGTTGTAGGGTTTATTTTGCATAGACGCCAGGTCCCGCAGAGCTTCCAAGCCAAACCCACACATTTGGTCCAGGGACCATCGCCTGATTCGTTCTGTCAGACGAGGTGCAGAGTGTTACCTCGCGTGATATTGACAGTCATTTCGTGTTTTGGATACACAAAAATGTTGCCCCGGAATATAGTTCTAGAAACCCCGCGTACTCCAGGAGAGGAGATCTTGGGGCATTACGGGTGGCGTCCCGGGTAATATGGTTAAATGTGGAATTACGTGCCGAGAGCCAGTTACTTTTAGTTTCTGTAGGAAGTAATGCTGCAGCATGGGTATTGTTTTGTACTTCGGTAATATCGGGTATCTTTCCGGCTAAATAGAGGCCAAGGCACTTCAGATGGAGCTTAACCAATTATCGTTTGACGAGACGGAACCTTGACCGGCAGACCGAACGGACATTTTGTTATTTTGGGCCTAGTTCTAGATGATCACCAGCTATGAAGCAGTTCTTCCTAAAACAGACCCGAGCAGCACTAAATGCCATCTGGGAAAATGTAGAATAAAGTTTTGGGTCTGATTTTAATTGCATACAATCGATTTAAAACGGGGCGTCGCGTGGTTGAGTCCCATAGGGTCTTGTGCATTCCAGCCACTGGGTAGTCGCTCGGGTGGATAATTATTTTACAAAGCTCTTAGCAAATTTTACAATATGAGTTGGATGATACCCGGCGGCGAAGACAATACATCGTAGGCTAGTCCGCCTTGTTTGCCACAGACCAACATGAAAGGTGTCCCAAAACGTAACTCAGCTGGACCTTCCCATTGTTCAAGACCAGTTTCAAGGCATAATTCCATATTTTCGATCCATTTCTGCGCCTCTAAAGTAGCCACAACACGAAAGGATTCTACTCGAAAAGGGAGAACTAGCGAGCCTTGTGAGCTAGAGATCTGCCCTGATGTGTCCCAAGAAAGCGGAAAACAACGACTAACAAAACGATAGAAAGTTGCGGGGACAAGAAGTTTGAACTGACACACAGCCAGGTGACTCGAATATAGTTTGTGACAGTGATGAAGTGTTTGTCTCATGAACTGATCACCAAAATCGCCCAAGCTTGAAACAGCATGATCACCGCCATCCAGATCATTAATGGCTACAGTCGATATCAGAAATTGAGGACTATTTCTGGACCACATTGATGCCGTTCCTCGAGCAAACGAAAATTCGCCAACAGCCATTTGTCCTCTAGCAGACCTCATTATAGAAGAAGTTGAATGGTCAAGGAGGCTGAGCCTTCAGTTGCCAGCATTGGCTCGAGCCGGAAGACAACTGTGTGTATAGTCTCAGTATGAGCTACAACATCGAAAACTGTGGAGGCCGAACCTTACGACTCTATCTTTAGAGGGAAACTCGGATATGGGTGGTTTGGATGCTGAGTACTCTCATCTCTCTGGAGGAGATTCATTCCAAATCTTAGGAAGATTACTCTATTCTGCGAGATCGTAAGCCTCGACTCAACTTGGTGACTGAACTGTTTCCATCAGTCTCTTCAAGTTTGTCTAAGACTAGTACCATGACGTAGGATACGTATCCCGTCCAAGAAAACCCTCCCTTGACTTGGCGAATGACGGTGCACTTGGCTGTGATGAGAGTATCGACTTCAATATTTCTACATAGGCATGCGATTTAATGCTGTTCATACGTTCGAGTACTGGCTTACTGGAATGAAGAACAGACAAGGTGCGCTCAGCTAAGAGCTGGCGAGAAATGCGCTTAACATAAGATGCAAATGCCCTTGAATGAGTCTAGACAGTCCGTAGAAATGTCGTCTCATGCAGCCACTGAGAGGTCTGCGGAAAGAAAATGACGTTGTTAGGAAAATACGTCCTTTGGCTGAGCAATCTATAAATGTCCACGAGACTATTGATAATGGCTTGAAAAAGAAAGGGTGTGAATGGAGCGCAGCGAGAGAATAGGAAACACAAATAATGTGAAAATGAACATTATAACTCAAGGCTACGACTTGGCTAATAGTAGGACTACGGAGACATCTTCATAACTCGAAACTTTATGGTAAAATATTTGAAGTTTGAAAATACAACAACACGGAACGTGATGCAAGTTGCGACCCGTGCGCAAGAGCTCGATTCGGCCAAATCAGACGATGATTCACAGATACAAATAACGCATCTGATCAGGATCAGTCTCAAAAGAGCTGAATGCATTATCCAACTTCGAGATGGTGGAGTCGTGGTGTTGACGATGCCGGGTTAGGCATACGAGGAGAAAAGTTCAGCCACCAGCGCGTCCGGCATGTCGGCTCTCTCACCCGATGCAATCCTCAAACACGTGATTGTATTAACCACGCTCCATGGATGCAGAGGTGAACAATAGACAAGCGAAATACATTTGATTGAGACATTGCATCATGTAGGAGAACTCAAGAAGGCC